AAGGTGCTAGAGGTAAAGATTATCAGTGTACATGGAGGAACAAACGAGTTTAGGCGAGGGAGGGGCATTAAATTTGATGAAAATGCAATCACATCCAGAAGCAGCACCCAACATGCCAGGTTTTGGTTTTAACTGGGGTTTGTTTGGCTGTCTGGGCATAATCCCCTGTGGCGGGGTCAGTTAGCAATGTGAATACATGAAGCCCATGAATTAGAGCAATACTCTGCTTGGAATTTAAATGAATGCCGCTCGCTTGGGGTTCCTAGACCATCTGACCCTCAGCATTTAAAAGGACCAGCAATTCGTTGGGCTCATTAATCACGAGGCTAATTCAGTACTGAAGAGTTAGTGTTCATTGCTGCTTTCTCACCTCCCACTGGGAAATGTTAACTTAAGAGTACCCATTCTGAGAGGCTAATTCTTGCAATTTGTGGTTAACAGGGACTCAATGTCAGGATGGGTGGTGCTATAGTTACGTTAGATTGAACTTCAGATGAGGAAATAGATGTTGATCATCTGCAGCAGGAGTGGCCTGGTGTGGAGTGAGACAGAGAGACAGAGAGGGAGAGCCCCACATAGGGGTGTGGGGAGCAGGAGTGTGGGGAAATATGGGAGAGAGGGAAACAGGAGAGTGGGAAGCAGAGGGGATGGCATCAGTAGAAAGGAAAGGGGCTGATCTCAGGGGAGATACTACCTAAAAAACAATACATAGTCATTGAGGATGGATGATCAACATTGGTAGTCTCCTAAAAACAGATCCTGCTGGATCAGACGGCCACTCATTACCAATGGCTGTGAAACCTATTAACCTTTTTGCCCCCATATCCTTCCTGGTGGAGACATGTCCAAGATCTTCTGTACAATTGCCTGCATGACTCCCCTCATATTCCACAAATCTGACTTTGAATCCAAGGTAGGAAGAGACTTCCATTGATTGGGCTCAGTAGCTGAGGGCCCAAATCAGCCAGTCAGCCATTCGTAGAGACACAACCAGAGATGCTCATCAGGACCTTGCGGAAGTCCTGACGCACTGATTTACACTGGAATTGTCAGGAAGTTCCAATTTGTAATGAGTCATTTCATTGCTTCCTGTGATCTCGATGAAAGCCTCCAATTCAGAGCTACAGTTGGAAGCTTAGGACAGATCCATTGCACTTTACTGAATGGTTAGCCAGGACAGAGAAACCCCAGTCTAACTGGATAGTAACACAGCTGATAGATTAGTCACTCTCACCTGACACCTGGAAAAACACTTTGACACTCATCTAGGGCACACAGTGGTTAGCACTGCTGCCTCACACAGCCAGGACCCTGGGTTCGATCCCAGCTTTGGGTGACTGTCTGTGTGGGTTTCCTCTGGATGCTCCAGTTCCCTTCCACAACCCAAAAATGTGCAGGTTAGGTGGATTAGTCATGCTAAATTGCCCTACAGTGTCCAGGGATCTACAGGCTAGGTAGATTAGCCATGGGGAATACAGGGTTGCAGAGGTAAGGTTGGAGGCTAGGTCTGGGTGGGATGATCTTCAGATGGTTGGTGCAGACCTGGTGGGCCAAATGGCCTCTATCTGCACTGTAGGGATTCTGTGATTACACCCCAAAAACTATCTTATGTGCCTGACATGAATACCATCTCATCTACCCATTTTTTCATTTCCCCCCTTCAGATTGAACAGTTCAACCCACCCTATTGAAGCCTAATGGGACATGTCCTGTCTCCTGCCAACTTTACAGTGATGTGGCGGAGACTTCTCAGTGTATTATGTTCCACAGTTCTGGGAAAGGTGGGCTTGGAAGATCCAGTGGAAAAGCAGATCAGAATCAAGATGGGAGAAAATTTGAGAAGAATGACATTCCAAGGAAGTTTGCAGGAGTTCTGAGTGACTGAGTTTTTGACAATACCAGCAATTATGTCACCATCACCCGGTTTGATGCATTTCAGCATAGTGTTATGATCCCAGCTGATGTCATTATCAGACAAGTCAGAAACCAGATTGAAATCTGGCTTGATAGATGATATTTTGTTTTGTTTTTCTTTAATGGGCGGTCTTTCACTGAAACACAAGCACCCAAAGGCGCAGATTTGATTTTAACAATAAAATAGAGGTTCATTGCACAATAGAAATAAAGATAAAATAGATCAAGCTACTTCCATTGAACTCAATTTGAAAGATTTTGAAATACACAGTAAAAATACAATCCCATCTACCTCAAAACCATCACATTACAGTACTCAAACACCAGAAAGAGTTTGCTTCTCTATTACATCTATAGGATTAACTTAACCATGTCTTTCAATTCGTAAAAGAAAGAAGAACAAGAAGGCATAGATTTAAAGTTGTATCAAATAAAACAAGGGTAATGAAAACGTTTTCACACAGCATGTAGTTAGGATATGGAATGTACTGCCTGGAATTGTGGTGGAGGCAGGTTCAGTTGAGCCATTCAAAAAGGTATTGTGTAATTATTTTGAGAGAAATGGTGTGTGCAGGGTTATCAGAAAAAGATAGGAGATTGGAACTAGGTAATAGATCTGAAGCAGATAGGAATGGCTTCTTTCTATGCCATGACAATTCTATGATTCTGTGAATTCCAAGTCTTGAGAGTTCATCTCACAACGGAGCTTAGGCTTTCTCAACTTCTGAGAACCCCTCCAGTGTTCTGACCAAACATTTCTGGCCTGGAACTTTCAAACTAAAGCTTTGAAGTAACTGCGGTAGCCTGTTTCCTCACAGTTCTAAGCTAACTCTTTTCTCTAGGGCAAACTGTTTCATACATCTAATTTCAACCTGCTGTCGGGCAGAAGATATAGAAGTTTGAATACACATATGAACAGATTTAAGAACATCTTCTTTCCTGCTTTTATTAGCGTTTTGAATGGATCTCTCAAATGTTAATTCTGATCTGTCTCTGCACCTTCTCTGTGGCTGAAACACTATATTCTGCAGTCTGTTTTGCTACCCTGATGCACATTGTATGATACAAGCTGCTTGTATAACAAGGAAAACAACACTTTTCACTGTATCTCAGTACATCTGACACCAATAAGTCAATCAATCAATCAACCAGGACTTCTGCAAACTGAAAAACAAAAGCTTTCTAAGCCATGTGCTTTTCCTGTAGACAAAAAAAAGTCTTGATCCTCCTAAACAGAAAGAAAGCTAAAACTATTCAAAGTTTACTTGATCCATTTATAAAACTGTCCCAATGCAACAAATCTCCATTATAACCCCAGGGACTTCCTCTCTTGTATTTGTTGAAAAAAACATCCTGGCTTCAGAAATACTGACAAATAAATGATTAAGGCCCCTCATACACAAAGACTAAAACCCCCATGCCACTAGCTCACACATCTTACAATATGCGGATACTTGGCTTTGCTTATTAGACTGATTTTGCCATGTGTGCATTACTAGCATGTTACTTACTTTTCCTGGTGTTTTCTGGCCTTGGGTCCACACATTGCCAGGTTAACCTTCCCATGAAGCCGTAACAACTTTCTTTGCAAGCTTAAGGTTAAAATTACAGTCAAGACCCAATGACATCTGAGTCCATGTAATTTGCAGCAAAATCTTGAGCACTGAGTATTTGTAAACTGCTCAGGATTTAATTTGATCAACATCAAACAGGCATTTATAAGAAAAGGTTTTGGTTGGTGTATGCTTAATTCCCTGAGAGCTGACCTGGTGTTTTCAACTTTCAGAAATTGACTGCTGTTGTGTTTAAGGGATGATTGCTAGGACACAAGGGCTATTTCCTTCAGTAGTACCGATGATCCCGATTGAAAGTGAAATGGAAGAGCCCAAGAGATACACGCCAACAGCCAGCCGTATGATAATCAGATGTAGCACTGAACTGGCCAGTGGCATGTTTAGAAGGTGCTTCAGCTGTCTAGACAGTAAGCAGTATGGATCCTCTTAGTCCAGAATGATTGTGGTGTGCTACTGTCTGTGTAACCTGGCAGTAAGAGTTAACCATTGCACAGTGCATATTGTTTGTGGATGAATTGGAAGACCTTGACTCCAAAAACAGAACAAGATCAGAGAGAGGCTTGCATTTATATAGCAACCTCTGACTGTTTCAAACTCCATTACAGCCAATGAAATACTTCTTCCTTTCATGGGATGTGGATGTTGCTGGCAAGCCTAGCAGTTGTTGTCCATCCCTAATTGCCCAGAGTGCGGTTAGGAGTCGGACACATTGCCGTAGGTCTGGAATTATATACAAGATGGGAGATTACCTTCACAAAATGGGATAGGTGAAGTAGCCAGTGTTTTAATAATAACCAATGGTAGGTTTACAATCACCATTTCAATTTGATATTTATTAATTAATTGAATTTAAATTCTGCTGTGTTGGGAGACAGACCCATATCTCCAGAGCATTGGTCTAGGTCTTTGGGATTACTAACCCAAAGACAATTTCACTATGCCACTGTTTTCTCAATAAGCAGCTAGCAATGGACACAGAATAAGCCCCCAAAAGCAGATGAGGAATGGTCACTTGGCCTAAACCATTAACTCTGATTTCTCTGCACAGATGCTGCCAGACCTGCTGAGCTTTTCCAGCAATTTCTGGAATTGTTCCAAAAGCAGAAATGCATGCGAGGGATAAATTAGACACTGTGGAGAACACTCCTCCTCTTCTTCAAAACAGTACCCTGGGATGTCAGGGATTCTTTAAAAGCTGCAAGGTTCAGTTAGTGAGCACCCTGTACCACTGTAATTATTCAAACCAATGATCACTCTCCCAGCCCTGCTCATGCACTACTTCCTCACCCACTGAACCCACCCACACAGTACACCTCCCATTCACTCCACTAATTATCTTCCCATTCTACCACTGTAAAGCTGAGTTGCCAACCTGCATTAAAGGATGAACAGTATTGGAAAATGTAGCAAAATGATGCAGTTTATATTTTGCTAAACAAGTATAATACCTGCCCATATAACAATTTGTATATCTTTCGATAACTGTTGTTCCTTTTCCCAACACTCTTCCAGGTTAGAATCTCAATGAGTTAAACAGAAATGAAGGCGGGCTGCTCACATCCTGGGTCTGAGTGTTCAGATGCTCTTCGCCAATAACCTCTTGGTTAGGAACCAGAGAAGGTACCCTGTCACCAACTTGGCCAAGCTTGACTACTGGGGCATGGGACAACATACTGGCTCCTGACTCGCGGATGGGGAAAGGGCTGTGGATGAGCATTTTGTGTGGCATTCCCACTTGAACATTCCTTCCTGCCACCTTCCCTCTGATGGATTCGCTGCGTTTCACTGTGTGCAGTCCGCTGATGCAAATCAGTGAGGGAAGGTCAAGATTGAAGTGTGGGTTATCCTGTTTAAGATGACAGATACTTTGAATCCAGAATCTCAATGGTTGTTATCAAGATCTGTATGGATTTAAATGATTACTTTAATTGATGTTCTCCCATTTGGCCATGCTAGGAGGAAGACTTCCTTTGTGATACTCAACGTCACCAACCCACTCACGCTGAAGCTGGACTCCACGCTCTGTGTGTTGCACAGAGAGTGTGTGCAAAGCCTGCCAATGCATCACACAGTCTCAGTTATTCCTCAATGATTTCCCTTTACATCAATGGCCCCCTGGGCACGGCAGCTGTGCCTAGCTGAGCGGAACTTGGAGAGGCCTGTACCCTCTCACGCCAACTCTCCACTGCTGTCCCTGCCACCACTACCATCTGGTCTCCTTCAGTTGTGAAATGTGAGTCAGCAGCTGAAAACGCAACTCCGTGACTAACTGGACCCAGTGAAGTGTGAAGATTGAAGCTGATGCATGATGAGCAAGAATTGTGTAATGGTGCTCCCTCAGAAGAAGAAATCATTGGCTATGAGTTTCATGGACGCCCGCTGTAAATGTGAAAGTGATCACAAAGAGAAAATATATGAATTAGTATCGGTAAGGAAAATATTCTGCAACAAATCCTCATTGACGATGATCATATTTCATTCTCTCTCAAAATCAAGCCAACATAACTATGTATAATGTCACATGCAGTTGATATTCTAGTCTGTTATCAGGCAGCTTGGAGTTGCCAATGCCTTCCTCTCCAAAGATAAGGGATGTAGGTTAAATGAATAAAACCATGAATGGTGTCAGAGACTCAGGAGAGTTGTACTGTAGAGGGTTAGTGTTCAATTAGATAATCTTTAGCGAAAAAAAATTCATATTTGTCAGAACTTCTAGGAGATGGTTCTATGTAGAAACCTTGTGGAAATTCTTGTCCTGAACTTAGAAGATAATTTTCAATAAATATAATGTTTACATTTGGGCCTCTGTAGTTTTTGTAGTTTTTTTGATCCCAAACAATACGAGATGACAGTCGCATGCGATAACACAAATTTGATGCCAAACCTCCCCTGATGCCCAGTGTCTCCTCTTCTGGAGTTGTCAGGTCTGTGGAGGGACACATCCGCTTCTCCTCTTCTTTGTGTCCTGTGTCTTCTGCAATGGAAGGAAGACCAGACTGAGGAGGGAGTCAGCTAAAATGGATAGAGTGCTTTTGGTGAGAGAGGCTGTGAGGGAGTGCTGACCCTCCTGGGTCACCTTGAGCCACTCTATTGATTTGATAATATTGTGTTTCTTCCTTCTATTCAGGGGAAAGTTTATCTCCCTCAGGCTGTCTTTTGTTGTATGTTCTTATGCCACACTATAAGTTTGGGTTTGAGACAGACTGGTTGTAGTAAAGGCAAGTCAAGACTGGTCTTCAGGGGTAGACTTCAAAGTCACATTATTACACTTTCATGCTATATTAAATGATTCATAGGAATCTTATGCTCTGACTTTTAGCTACATTAGGGAATGATTTTTATTATTCATGCATGGGATGAGGGCATAGCTATCTAGGTCAGCATTTATTGCCCATCCTTAATTGCCCAGAAGGCAGTTAGGAGTCAACCACATTACTTTCGGTGTGGAGTCAAATGTAAGCCAGGCCAGGTAAGGATGGCAGTTTCCTTCCCTAAAAGACATTAGTGAATTAGATGGGTTTTTCCTGACAGCTGACAATGGATTTCATAGTCATTATTAGACTCTTAATTCCAGATTCTTTATTGAATGCAAATTCTACCATCTGCTGTAGCAGGATTTAAACGCAGGTTCCCAAAACGTTACCTCAATCTCTGGAATAACAGTCCAGTGATAATGCCAATTGGCCATTGCCTCCCCTAATGTCTAGTTGTGGAAAACTGTCCTCATCCAACATTGGATGTTGAATTGATGGGACATGGGCAGAGGAAATAGTTTTTCCATATCTATGAACTCCCCTTAACATTTTAAAGTTATCAATCAGATCAGTTCACAGTTGATCAATTTATTTCAATGGATAATTGCTTGTTATAGCATTTAGGAACTGGATACATAGACAACAATGACTGCTTGCTAACAGTGGGACAAAGGAATGACTGGACAGAATCAATGAAGATCCATTTCTGGGGAAAGGTTTCATGATGAATGGGAACCTAACCTCTGCTCAAATGAATAAGATGCCACTCCATTCTAGGAATTCCCTCTGACCCTTGGGCTGCATGTGTTTAGTGTTTTTTTGGGAATGTTGATCCAATTGCTCCAAATGAAACAAGTTATGGTGTTGGGGGGATGGGCGGGCTGGGGTGGGCGTGGGGGAGGGCTTTGTGGGGGTGGTGTGGTGGTCTCTTATTAATGTTGCTGGGCTTGTGATCTAGAGGATTTGGGTAGTATAGTGGCTCAGTGGTTAGCACTGATACTTCACAGTGCTAAGGATCCAGGTTCAATCCCACCTTTGGGTGACTGTCTGTGTGGAGTGTGTATGTTCTCCCCATGTCTGTGTGGACTTGTTTTGGTTTCCTTCATTTGATTCTTAATTCCAGATTCTTTATTGAATGCAGAGGAGAATGATGTGTAGCTTAGGTAGGTTGGCCATGCTAAATTGCCCATAGCATCCAGGGTTGTGCCAGCTAGGCGGATTAACAATGGAAAATGCAAGGTTACAGAGGTGGGATATGTCTGGGTGAGATGCTGTTCAGAGGGATGTTGTGGACTTGATGGGCTGAATGGTCTGCTTCCACACTGAAGGGATTCTATGATTCTGGCTAATGATTGTTGGGATGTAGAATCAAATACTACCACAGTGGCCATTGGCGTTTGAATTCGGTTGATAAATTCTGGAATTGAGAATTAATTACTTCAATAGTGACCATAAAGCAATCATTGATGGTTGCAAATAAAGTCATCATCATAGAATCCCTACAGTGCAGAAACAGGCCCTTTGGCCCAACAAGTTCACACTGACCCTTGGAGCATCCTACCCAGACCCTATAACACACCTAATCTACACACCCCTGAACACTTGGAGCAATTTAAGCATGGCCAATCCACCTAGCCTACACATCTTAGGACTGTGGGAGGAAACCAGAGCACCTGGAGGGTACCCACACAGATACTTGGAGAATGTGCAAACTCCACATAGACAGCTGCCAGAGGGTGGAATTGAACCCAGACCCCTGGTGCTGTGAGGCAGCAGTGCTAACCACTGAGCCACCATCCCACCCTGTGGGATCTGGTTAATTAATGCCCTTTAGGGAAGGAAAGATGTCATTTTTACCTGGTTTGGCCTACATGTGACTCCAGAAATCCATCATTATCTTTGACTCTTAACTGCCCTCTGAAAGGCCCAGCAAGCAGTTCAGTTCAACGGCAATAAGAGGTGAGCAGCCAATGCTGGTGAAGTCTATCTTAAGGAGAGATCCATATCCTGTGAATGAATAAAGGAGAGAGAAAGAATTCTCAGTGTTAAAATGAAATGTGATTTTTCCAACAGTTAAACAATTTAGCTGCACAATTCACTCAACAATTGACTGGATGAGTAGCAGATGGGGATGGCGCTAGTTCTGCAACCTGCTGCTGGTCCTGGAAGGGAGCTAAGGTCTGGATGACCTTCCACAGTTATCCCCACAAAGGGAACAATGGTGTTTGCCTGTGCCTACACTTTGGTGCTGTGCTGAGAGTGAAAGACTGGCACTCAGATCAGTAATGCATTGAAATGAGATATTCACACCCAGCAAACCATGAATTTAAAAACCCTTAAAATACTTTGTTTTTAATTCAAACTTCAGGATAGTAGGTTTGTACAAAATAAAATGTTGCCGATCAATGAGACTTTGGGGTGCAGGTGCATAGTTCATTGAAAGCGGAACCACAAGTAGACAGGGTCGTGAAGAAGGTGTTTGGTGCAATTGCCTTCATTGGTCAGTGCATTGAGTATAGGTGTTGGGAGGTCATGTTACAGCTGTACAGGACATTGATTAGGCCACTTTTGGAATACTGCATTCACTTCTGGTGTCCCTGCTATAGGAAAGATGTTGTTAAACTTGAAAGGGTGCCGAAAAGATTTATAAGGATGTTGCCAGTGTTGGAGGGTTTGAGCTATAGGGAGAGGCTGAATAGGCTGAGGCTATTTTCCCTGGAGCATCAGAAGTTGAGAGGTGACCTTATAGAGGTTTATAAAATCATGAGGACCATGGGTAGGGTGAATAGCCAAAGCTTTTTCTCCCAGGTAGGGGAGTCCAAATCGAGAGGGCATAGATTTAAGGTGAGGGGGGAAAAAGGGGCAACTTTTTCACGCAGAGCGTGGTGCCTGTAGGAAATGAACTGCCAGACAAAGTGGAGGAGGCTGATACAATTACAACATTTAGAAGGCATCTGGATGGATACATGAATAGGAAGAGTTTAGAGGGATGTTGGCCAAATGCTGGCAAATGGGACTAGATGAATTTAAGATATCTGGTCGGCATGGATGGATCGGACTGAAAGGTCTGTTTCTGTGCTGTACAGCTCTATGACTCTATAATTTGTTTGAATGGTTAATCAAAGCAAAAGCTAAAAATAAGGACTCCTAAAAGAAAGCCTTTTCTCATGTTTTAAAAATAGGTGGACCCTTTGATCATCATTGAGAAATTTGACACCTCATTGATATAAAATTAACTTTTCAGGTCCAGTAATTATGCATTTAATACACAGGCAAAAATCTAGTTACACCTCCTTAAACAAGGTGTAACTATTCCAAGGACTTTTTACAGTGAAAATAATAATGTAGCATGGGCATTATACCTTCAACAGCAAAAATCTATTCCCCATTTAGCTTATCCATTGAAAGCTAATGTTGAGCAAAAAGCGATCTTTAAGAGCTGTGTAACTCACTGGCAATAAAATACCAGGAGTCACTGGGGTGGGGTTGGAGGAAGGGCTATGATTGGATGACTGTAACCTGCAAGATGAGTGGGTACACATTGAATGAGATGTTAGCATTTTATAAATTTCATAAAGAGCCAACCTCCCTCAAACCCACTGTCTTCAGTTTCAACAGAGACAGGACAAAGATACGGTAATTAACCTCTCAGGAAGCAGACTGGTCTGCAGCAGCTTTTAAGAAGCATGTCTTTGTTCTAACAAGGGTTATCATTGTAACTAATGTGCGCTTTGAGAGAACTAAGATATAAACAGATGGAAGAAAAGCTGCATCCATGACTTAGGTTCTTTTATAGCTCTGCTTGTGGCCTAGAAGAAGCAGGGATTTTGTTTTCAGGAGCAATCTACAACCACTCCCATGGCTGCCAACAGCCCCCAATCCATTGGGATAGCACAACGACTCAGTGGTTAGTGCTGCTGTTTCACGCACTAGGGACCTGGGTTCAATCCCACCCTCGGGTGACTGTCTGTGTGGAATTTGCATGTTCTTCCCGTGTCTATATGGGTTTCCTCCCACAGTCCAAAGATGTGCAGGTTAAGTGGATTGGCTGTGCTAAATTGCCCATAATGTCTGTGGATGTGCAGGTTAGGTAGATTAATCATGGTAAATGAAGGGTTACAGGGATGCGGTGAGTCTGGATGGGATGCTCTTTGGAAGGGCAATGTGGACTTAATGGGCCAAATGGTCTCCTTCCACACTGTAGGATTCTATCTTGTTACCGCTTTGACAATCTCACCACTCCTGACCTAAACTCCATACCTTATACAATCCCCCTCAAGCTGGTGAGAGGTTGCATCCCTCTCTGCAAACCTATTGGCTCGTTGCTTGGATACATGTTTATGGTACAGGCTTTCCCACAGAAATAAATAGTGAGCCAGCCTGTCCATCAATATG